TAGAGTATCTATCCTTAATTTTAGTATATATTTTTCCCAACGTGATTGATCTAGCCCTTTCACTGTTTTGCGGAATCAATCAAAGCTATTTCAGGTTGTTAGACTTTTGAGGTCCTTTACCTTTCATCTGCAACTGCCTTGTCTGTCACGCAGAGGTTCCATTCCTGGGCCAGAATAAATATTTGTATGTCCTACATTTATTACTCTCGTGAGTTTGAGTATAATTTGTGGTAGCTTAAGTGTGTATCCATGGCACTCGAAATACAGGGTTTCCCTAGTATGGGGTTAGCAGTGTGTACCTTATTACCATTATTATATTATTATTATCTACAGAAATTATGAATTTGTACTTTTTAGAATGCCGTAAAGACCAGCACTCGAAGCGAGCAATATTTGACTCCGTTCGGTTTCTATTGGCACTTAGATGGTGAAATCGTTGGATCGTCACACGAGTCGCGCATTTTTTATACATAGATTCACTTCTTTTGTAGCAATTTGTAACCTCACGGTGTTCAGTAACATAAAAACCAGTCTAGTTATCAATAAAAGTACTTTCAACATATTAGGATTAACGTTTTTAAATTTTTTTGTTAGGATCCGATATCTTTGAGCTATTTAGAAGTAAATTATGATTTGGTTCAATCAAGACAACCGAAGAACGGAGCCCAAAAAGATTAATGTTATTTAATTGCCATCTCTCGATTATAAAGTCACCCTGTATAAAATGTCGTAATACATTCTTTGTCAACACTTTAAATTAATCATTACATTGTTCTAATTCACCGTTAACATACAAGCTTGATATTACGGAAAACAATTAAATATGACAAGAAGATTTGTAGAACTTTTAGTATTGTGTTCTTGGTTTTATATTATTGGAGGTAAGATTGATTTAGTTACTTTAGCTTAAGTTCAAGTTTTCATCTTTACGAATTTTGATCAAGTGGGAATAAATATTAAAACGAGCATTCGTTTTTATTAATTTAGTTTGCTATGTAGAAGTAAAGAATGCATGGTACTTTTGTTAATCTCGAATACTATGCAGAATTCATGCCATCAGGCGTGTTGCACGTGCCTTTGAACTGTACTTTTTGTTACTTGCCAAACAATGTGATTTCGGAATTGACGTTTCGTTATGTTCCACATTTAAAAGTTGTTTTTAATACTGCCACCTTACCTTACCTATTCGTATCGCCAAGCAGTAATGCCATCGGGTATATAACCAGAAATAGAGACGAAATAAGGCCCATCCGTCCCTGACAACTCATCAGACAAATACGTCTTATATCACTTTTAAATATCAACTCTCGTTTGCGCTGAAATCACAAATTAGAAAGCTGAAATAGTACAGCGCCAACAACTGACCTGTGTGTATGTCTCCGTATACTCCAGAAATATGCTATATTTATTGTAATAAAGATAATATCTCTAACAATGGGGGCTGTTCCATTCGGTGATGTGGGGAAAACAGCAAATCAAATCAAATCATATCAAATCATTTATTGTGTACGCACGTCTATAAGGTCTTATGTAACATTGTTGTGTCAGTACGTATTGCCAATTTTACGGCATACAATTTACATAATTAAATTAATTTAACAGTATACTACTACATTTTAATTACAAAATGTCAAATCTTAATTTTAATTTTAATTCTTAATTATATTTATGTCATTATTTTGTGGTGGTTAACTATTATTCTATGTTCTTGTCATTTAAGTAATCGCTGACTTTATAATATGCTTTCCCAGTCAATAAATTAAAGAATCGCTTTTTAAATTGGCATTGTCGTTAGTCTCAAGTATATAATTAGGCAGCTTATTGTATAGTTTTGGCGCCATCGCACAAATATTATCATGAAAGAGGGTAGTCTTACAGGCAACTAGTTTCAATTTATTGTGTCTTCGTGTACTTTCCACCTTGCTGAAGAGTGTGAGATTTCTCCGAACAAATTGCCCGAATACACCTTTTTTGTGCAATCAACACGTCCGTACTTCGTTTGGCATTACCCCAGAACATAATACCGTATCTTATGATTGAGGCTACATATCCGTGGTAAGCCGTTAGTAATGCATCTTGGTCTACAACTTTAGATAGTCTCCACAAAGCGTATGCAAATCTATTTATTCTCATACACAAGATTTCTATGTGTTTTTCCCATGTTGTTTCCCAAGTTAGCTGCCAGCCCTTGGGTTTCTCAGTCAGTCTATAAATTTTTTTGATAAAAATTTGTTCAGATGTTTCGACTTCAAATGCTGTAAATAGGCCCTGGTACTTATTGTGTGTGTTACACGATAAGATGCAATTTATCGGATTGTATAAAATCCTGAAAACAGAATAAATGCTAATGTCTATAATGCTAATTATTTGGGAAGAAAATATCTAACTTTGCACACAATTTTTATATCGAGATATTTCTATTAAAGTACCTAGATAATGTGCTGAATTTTGGTTTTCAACTGTTTTCAACTGAAGCTCTGTAGTTATTAAGTTCACTTTAATATTTTGCCCAAAATTTGACATTGAAATAGATTTAAAATTGCCCAGCGGCTTAACGACACGCCGCGCCGCCCGCTGCCCCGTCAGTTACCACCGGGCGCTTGTCGACGTCGGATCTGTGTCAAATTTTCTGCGCCTGTTCGTATTTTATTCACATTATTACTATTATTATTTTATAATATCAAGTGACGGGACAAACAAGTCGTGCGCCTGTTGGTAAGCTACACGCCTGTCCATTACAGTTGCAGTGCCACTCAGAGTTTTAAATTGTAAAGATCCGAGGGGCACTGCCACTCACCCTGAGACATAAGTTGACAAGTCCCATGTGCCTGTAATTTCACCAGCACCCTTAACCTTCAAAACCGGAACACAGTAACGCTAACGTTATTGCTTGGCGGCATAAATAGGTAAGTGCTTCCCTGGACGACCTCTTTTATAAGGAGCTCTACTGCTACTCAAAATTTAAATTGGTTGCGGGACGCGAGGAGCGGTCCTACACACTTTACCTCCTAAAACGTAGGCTCCCATTGAAATACCTCGTCTCAAATGCGTTATGGTAAATTGATCGGGGTTTATACGTATCCTTGTTGAACAATATGCTACTTTCTTCTATATTTTTCAGCACAAAATCCCGATGCTATGGAAAAGGAATGCTCACAGGTGCTCAAAAGTACGTATGTAAACCTTCAAGACAATGAGGAGGTTCTCATTTCGACTGTACTTTTTTATGTATGCTACTCGATTGCACCGACATATTATCTAGGGTCGGCGGACTAAAGCACATAAGTCAAATTCGTTTGTTTCTCCATAAATTTTCCATAAATTTGTAACTTAACTCTAGAGGCGTCTTTTTTAAATTTATCTTTCTCTTCACATCTTCCAACACTATAAACAACACAAAAAATATATAATTATAAATGAGCAAATGCAGCACTTTTTTGACTTTTGTGCTTTAGTCCGCCGACCCCAGATTTGTGAATTTGATGATTCTTTTTTTTGAAAAGAGGACACCAGTAGCAGTTACATTCAAATTTAAAGAAAAAATTCTACCTCTAAGAGTGGCAAATTAGGGGATGGATCCAGTTTATCGGATTTTACCCACTTTCCGTTAAGATTTCAAAAAAACTTGGCAAATCGATGTAATTCCGCGAACTTCAGGCATTGACTTACAATTATATGGACGTCGGGTCCGCGCTAAAAAGTGTCCGAACTTATAGGGCGTTAAAATCGTATACAGAGCGTCATTCACGCTTTAGTCTTCGTTGTTCGACTGACAGCGAAGCAAGCAAAATTAGACAGTACTGCGATGACATTACTATTTAAATTCAACGCTTTAGCTTTTGCATATTCCTTTACATGTCACTACGTTTAAATAGGTTGACTTGGGACATTTTTTTCGTGGTTTTTGTATTAGACCCGTCGTCCATTTATTTGTAAGTCAATGACTTCAGGGCAGTTTTTGTTTTTTTAAAAGTTATAATAATCACAAAAAAGATGATCTGATCAGTCAGATCTGTCAGACTAAATTATTTTCTGATTAGTAGATTTATAAACTTCTAAAGAAATAATATTAATTTCTAGATAAAGAGGTGAACGGTCATGTTTGCACATTTTTGTCAAGAAGTGAAAATATTTTCTTTATTCATTACAACCCCTTGACCTCAAAGCTCCATTTTCTGCTTCCCTTTTTATATGGCCTGTTATTTTTTACGTAAGGTATTTGCTGACATTTGACCGTGTTTTTCTTTTCCTTTTTATCAAAATTATATAATATACAGGGCGTCTCACGACTATGCCACAAGGAGGAAAAGTACCTTAAATACCGTAGAATCGAATAGAATATATGGTAGAACATTTTACTGAAATAGGACTTCATTTTCATTTTAAAAACAATTCCAAACAAAACAAACGAAGTCAGAGAAAAGGCATTTTCCTGAATAAAATATCAAAGTAAATGTTAAATTTCATGGTTTTTCCTTTTATTTAAGATGCTATATTATTTAGAAGAAAACAATTATGACTTTCGATCTGTATAGTAAAATTGCATATGTTTGTTTTATCATATTTGGCGAGTTTGATACACGGTTCAGACAGGCGATTGTTTAAAAATCTTTGATTGCAATTCGAATTGTTTTTAAAATCAAAATTAAGTCTTTCCTATTAGGTATTTAAGTCACTTTCCTTCCGTGTGGCATAGCCGTCGGACACCCTGTATAATATTACCATTATTGAAAATTCTAGCCGGCGATGAAAGTGTTAATTTTGTTTTGGATACAATAACCTAAAATTTCACTTACGTAGGTACCTTGATATGACTGCTTCCAGCAGTACCTAAGAGTTAATTTCTAGGATACTAAGCTTTCCTACATTTACAGACGTCTACATAAGCGGTATACCAGGGATAAAAAATTGGAAATACGAAGAAACAGGCAACCTCGTTCGTTGCAAAGGAACATTGACCTATAGCTCACCAATGCTGTTCAAATTGGGATGTCACAGAAGGACCCAAAACTTCTTGTATAATGAATTGATCATCTACAAATCTAATGGTAAATAAATTCATAGTGTTCTCTGTGCAGGGGGTAGATTCAGAACCTTACGATAACTCAGTTGTCGACCGATTCGATTTGATATCATGCGATTTCTTTTAATTTTTCTTCATAACACCCGAATCGATCGTCAAACTGTCGTATTCGAAACAGAACCGAAATGACGTCACACCTGTACGATTACTCCAACTTCTCGACCGGCAAAGGCTATAAACCTTATTCAGTACACAGTTATCGAACGTCCTATTGTTTACAAAGCAAGACCGTAATATGGAAATCTTTTATTATTCTAAAAAAAGTATGGATTTTTTTCAATTTTATTAATGTATTTTAATTCAAGACTACCTATTGCATTTCTATATTTTAGGCCTTTATAGTCTTAAAAATTCATCATTTTTTTATAATCTATTTTGACGACTAACTCCGTAGACGCTGTTGGATAACGATCAGCATTGCCAATGTGTGGGGCATTTTAAATCGTTTGAGCCTTAGAATAATAACGCATAGAAACCTAGTCCGCACACGCTAAGTGAGGCAAATTGAAGCGCGCCCAAAGGGCCTACACGAGCGGGCGGGCCTTCAGTGCTCAAGGTCAACTTGCACCGCGAACACATCAAGAATTTAGGCTAAAAATGACGAAATGTGCGGTAAATGAGTGTAAAAATAAGTCAGACAAACATAAAATAGATACTAACATCTCATTCCACAAGGAAGTAATAATTATAATAATAATAATAATAACGCACACACTCAACATAGCCCCGCACTAGGGAAACCCTGTGTCGCGGGTGCCATGGACACACACATAGACAACCACAAATTACACCCAAACTCACGAGAGAAATAAATGTAGGCCATACACATATTTCTCCCGGCCTGGGAATCGAACCCAGGACCTCTGCATGGCAGTCCGGCATGGTAACCGTTCGGCCACGGAGGCAGTTGAAACAGTTGAGGCAGTTGAAGTAACTCGTTTCAACTTGTATTTTTATATAAATATTCACTAAAACCGAATTTTAACCTACTACTAAAACTAGCCTACATGAATTTGATTTTTGCCTCACTTGTGACAGTTCGTTTGATATGAAACTATCATTCTATGCGTTATTATTCTAAGGTTTGAGCTCGATTGGGGTTTTTCTGAGGATTGGCGCTATGTGGGGACAATGCGGGCATTCTAGCATGGCGTCAATAGAGCCAATCAAACCAAACACACGAAGCGCCCATCGCCACAAAGACCCCAATCGATTTCACAATCGCCACAAAGGTCCCAATCGAATTCAAGTGTCATGAAATTCCCCACACGTCGGCAACGCTGACAACGATATCGTATCCGAATCAGGGGGTCTACTCTCGATCTCCGTCCGACATCCGTCCGAAACAATAACTGCTAAATAAGCAATACTTGACCAAAAGAAAAGACGCGTGATGCGAATGAAGCCTCATACTTGACACTTGCCTTTTAATTTTGTCGAATATTACTTATTTGACAGTAGGTAATTGTTTCGGACGGAGGTCGAGAGTAGACCCCCTGAATCGAACGTTAAACTCAATTGTTCTGAATAGCTCGGAAAGCGCCCTTCGATATGAGGACGATATTCAATCGAACGATTCGGTTAAAATATCGAAAAGTTCTGAATCGCATTGAATCGGGGCCCAGGACCTTTTTAGTTTTGTACTACTGTTGCATACAGACAATAGCGCATCATTTACCTAATTTATGAATGTACCTAAGTGTTTACACAACCTCAATGGGATTTGGTTGATTTCGCATAACAGTGAAATTGTTGAATCAATAATTTCGAAAAAAATATGTAGTAAAGTTAAGGATACGGTGTGAAAACAAGATTCCTAAAAATTGACACCAAAAAAAAAAAACACAAACTCACCTCGAAATTTTACAAGAAAACCGCTGTATTCAATGGATGTTTTACATATACCAATTTTTTTTGTATCAACTGAATTAAATAGTACACGTATATACGATATACATTTTTCCAATGGCCTTAAATTCATTTGTAAAAAAAAATTCTAAAATAAAGCCAGAGTCTCTGCCACTCGATCCAAGCAAAATGAAAAGTATTAGTACGGGAAAACATTGGAGTTCGAGCTGAGACTCTTAAATGTAAACCGAGGTGGTTTACCTTTTGTGTCCTACCAATCATATTTTATAATAGAATTTATTGTAATAGAATTAGTTATTGTTACTTTAATAGAACACACTTGACGGATATAAGAGCTAGTTACTCATAATACAGAGCATCCTAGTTTGGGAGCGAGTCATATCGCGGTACCTATTTTTCTGCATTTTGCATTAAAGTTATTACTATTACTACACATTAACGGATCTTATTGTTAAAAGTTAGTGGTGTTAAAATGAGTATAATAAATAAAAAGCTTATAGAATAAGCAAGCGGAAATGGCTGTGGGCTGGTCATATTTGTCGATGAAACCAATGGGTGAAACGCCCTCTAGCCAGATGGAGTGACGATCGCGATAGGCGAAATGGCGCACATTCGGAGACGCCTATGTCCGGTAGTGGACAGTGATAGGGTGATGACGAGACAAAACCGTAGAATATAACCAATTTAGTAAAACTTCATTTCTACGTTTTACATTTACGTATTAAATAAAATTCCAGATGACGACGACTTCGCATCTGATGGCGATAACGACATGTTAGATTTAATAATAAACAGTAAATATAACAACTCAACGATTGAATGCAAAACAATATTTCCAAACTCTGCTTCTACCAGTATCATAGTGCAATTGCTGTATGAACCGAACAACACATTACCAGGTTTGTATTAACACCCGACCAGCATATTGACTTTGATTCAAATAGTATATCTTTCTTTTCTTTTCTAATTTGTGAGTTAAATCAACTATTGTAAAAATATCAAAAGTTTCCGATCCGCCAGTTGTGAATCGCAATTGTGCGCCTCGACTCTGAAGTTTCCGATCGGGAGAGGCAATCAAAATCAAGCTGCTGGTAAGAAACCAAATATAATCTCGCTAAGTTGCGGAATGCTGAAGAATTTCGTAAGGGATTCTTAGGTTTTCGCGGAAACCTAGTTTACCGAGAACTTCGCCAAGCCGGAAGAAATCATCAATTAACAAAGATCTTTTTTCAGAGCATAATAGACTGAATCTGGCAAATGCGATTACGTATGAAATAAGAACTTACGACATCGGCGATGTTTGTGACACCAATTCGAACATAACTGTCAAGGCAGGGCCATTAATGGTCAAGATTTTTGGGAAGTACGACAAAGTGGACCATTTTTGGTAAGTTTTCTCTTATTTCTTATTTTAAACTTAACCCTCCCCTCAGTAGAGTCTTTAAGATTTAGTCTGCCAATCTTGTAGCTATTGTGTTCGTCGCCGATAAGCAGGTTTCCTCATGGTTTACATTACACAACAGACCATCACATGTATTTCTTGATTTTAAACTAGACAATTTACTTTAACTTCTTCTTCCTCTGCACCAATAGGTCTGAAATAAACTAAAAAAAGTAACATCACATCTAGGTTCATCATAATTATCATCAGCCTATCGCAGTCTACTACTGCTGGACATAGGTCTCGCCCAATGTGCGCCATTTCTATGAGCCGTGGTCTTCACTCAAGAACTCGTTTCCCCCATTGGTTACCGATTCTTCCACAGATGTGGTCAGCCCACTGCCACTTCAGCTTCCCTATTGCTTATTCTACCATTTATGTCGATGACTTTCTTTCTCTGTTAGGTAACTTCTTTTCGAAACTTATTGTTTAGAGAAACGCCGAGCACGTTTTTTTTCAGACTTGGGTATGGGGGACGAGAAGATCCGACGTAATTTTTCAAATGCTGCTCAGCCAAGCTGAGTCCTCCTTTTGGCTTCATTATCATCTCACCTTCCTTATCATGTTCCATTGAACAAATCCTATCATTAGATGAACAGGGTGAATTCTCTAAACCGCGAAGTGTACAGAATTTCTGAGGACGATGAACTTCCAGGGTGCGGTTTTTGGCACATTTAATGTTGGGTGGTTTCCATTTTGTCTGGGGGAACAAGTAATGCCGCAAAGATTTTGTGTCACATGTTTGGTCAGGTAGTATTTTGATTCTGACACGCCTATCCATAACAATAGCAGCTTTTATCCATAAAAGCAACACTCAGAGTTTTAAATCGGAAAGATCTTATGGGCACTGCCACTGCGCCCGTCATCCTGAGACATAAGTTGACCAGTCCCATGTGCCTGTAATTTTACCAGCACCCTTACCCTTTTAACTGCTTGGTGGCAGAAATAGATAAGGCAGTACTTCCCTGGACGAAAACTTAAAATCTCTTGTTTCAGGTGTCAAAATTTAAACGAAAACTTAAAGGTATTTCTGACAAAAGATGATTTTACAGAATACGAAAATCCAAAGGAAGCCATTGCTATTATAGTAAGTATCTGCTACATAACGTAAATTCTGAAATAGGTACAGTCAAATTAGTGCTCTTACCGCGTTATAGAACTAATTTCTTATTGAACACGGATATTGAAATCGAAGTCAATATTGGCGTCATCATTTCGGGTCGGAATAAACTTCACAGCCTTGATGAATAATATTTGACCACGGTAAACATTTCGTAGTTTGATGTTAACTGAATGTACCAAATGTCACCTATAGTTATAACTCTATGGATAATATTGACTGAATTATAGCCAAACACAACGATTCATACTGAATGTCATTACGTAACGTTACAGTTAAAAAAAAAAGGAAACGCTTATTCAAAGATCGAACATTTGGAAACAATTCCTTCGATTCGGCCGGATTCGAACCGACGCCAGACGCTATACCAACTAAGCTACGGAACGAACTAACGGACCTCATGAATTTTTCTATGTGCTTGTTGTCGGATCTCTGTATTTGGTTTTCAACGAGTTTTTAGCCGTAGCGCCATCTATGAGAAATCTATGAAAGTATTTCGTCACTAAATTAGATACTCTTACAACTAGAAATGTAGATGTCGCTATTAACTGTAATGAAATTTTTATTGAATTCATATTTAATTATTTTTTGTGAGATTATTAATACAAACATCGAACACTTAGAAAAAATTCCTTCGATCCGGCCGGATTCGTGCAAACCGTGGCAGATGCTATAGATTATTATTTAATAAATATCTACTACTATATAGTTCAAGTTAAGTCAATAAATTTTATTTATTATGATTTACCCTTAGAATAATAACGCATAGAAACCTAGTCCGCACACGCTAAGTGAGGCAAATTGAAGCGCGCCCAAAGGGCCTACACGAGCGGGCGGGCCGTCAGTGCTCAAGGTCAACTTGCACCGCGAACAGATCAAGAATTTTAGCTAAAAATGACGAAATGTGCGGTAAATGAGTGTAAAAATACGTCAGACAAGCATAAAATATATACTAACATCACATTCCACAAGGAAGTAACGCGTTTCAACTTGTATTTTTATATAAATATTCACTAAAACCGAAAATTAACCTACTACTAAAACTAGCCTACATGAATTTGATTTTTGCCTCTCTTGTGACAGTTCGTTTGATATGAAATTATCATTCTATGCGTTATTATTCTAAGGATTTACCATTAAAAAATACAATTTTATGGGATTTTTTTTATTGAGCGAAGCTTAGTCAACTGTGTTTCGGATCTCGTAGTTCATTTCCGTTTTTATCTATTTTCATCAATTTAATAAATCAATTAAAAAAACAACATTATAACGTCTATTTAGGGTCTCACTTCACCTTCAAGATCTGATGGGCACTACGTGAGCTAAGCTAAGTTAGCTAGCTTCGTTCAAAACGTTGGCAAGCCCATGTCAAAGTCCAAATCTAATAATCTTTATTTTTTAAGTAAACAAATTGAAAAACACATTAAATCGTCGTTTTGATTAACCTCTACTGTTCATTCGTAAAGCAGATTCCCGTAAGAAGAATGAGCGAGAAACTCTAGGGGTTGCTATTTGTAAATAAACATTTGTACACATTTACAATATTTCAAATATCATTACATCGGCACTACCTGCAAGAGCTAAATGAGTCACTTCATTACCACAGATTTCTGTCATCCAAGTACACAGAAGCTGTATAACCTTCACTGCAAAGTTTTTGTTTCATTATAGTTTTAAACCTCGTAATTGACAAATTTTAAATGTTAATAGGAATCTAAAAATGACGTTTTCAAGTGTAAAAACTTTACTGGAATAAACGATTATTTGACTTTGTTTTTAACTTCTTGTTATAGAAGCGTATACATTTGCTTCTAAACGAATTTGTGATTTTGTGGAGACACTGTCAAGAACAGCTTGTTTATTTTTATTCCTCGTATTAATGTTATGTTTGTCACTATTTTTCAAAAAAAAAAAAAAGTACTATTCTTCTCAACATAAATTACAGGTTCATAAATGTACTATGACGCTAGTGTAAGAATGTTAACTATTTGAAACTTATTTTTCTGTCTTGTTTAGCCATGTTAACTGCCTCGGTGGCCGAACGGTTACCATGCTGAACTGCCACGCAGAGGTCCCGGGTTCGATTCCCGGGCCGGTAGAAATATTTGTATGGCCCACATTTATTTCTCTCGTGAGTTTGGGTGTAATTTGTGGTTGTCTATGTGTATGTCCATGGCACTCGCGATACATGGTATTCCCTAGGGCAGGGCTATGAGTGTGTGTGTTATTTATTTATTTATGTGTTTGAAACTTTATGTTTCTTTTCCTACATTTCTTTAGTAGGTAAACCTATTACCTTGTTATAGGATACCAGATATATCGGTGAAAATCACACACAATGGAATTGTACCTTGCTTACGCGAAAAGGCGCTCCGATAAATCGAAATAATTTATATTATTACGGAAATGATTTTTATTCAAAAATATCATGCAAAGGATCAATTCATATTGTTGGTAAGTTATTATTATAGTCTAACTTATACGATGTACCTGGTTGGTGAATATTACCATCCCAGTCAATCGTGTAGGTACCTACATGAGATCTGGGCCCCAATTCGGCTAATTTTAAATCGTCTGAGTTATGTGGCGATACCATCGTGTAATATAACCAGAAATAGAGACTAAATGTCATTTAATTTGTTTGAAAACTATTCTGCAAAATCATTACGGTGACAACTGCACTCCGATCGGCCTGCCCGAATTCGAAAATATTGACGGGCGTTGTCAATTGTTTGAAATGGACAAATTTAAAAATGACATATTTAATTACCGATGAAATGTGATTCCGTTTGTTTAGTAATTATATGTTTTGCTGTTTTCCCACACACCACCGAATGGAACAGCCCCCCATTGTTAGAGATGTTATCTTTATTACAATAAATAGAGAATATTTTTGGAATATACAGAGACGCACACACAGGTCAGTTGTTGGCGCTGTACTATTTCAGCTTTCTAATTTGTGATTTCAGTGCAAACGAGAGTTGATATTTAAAAGTGATATAAGGCCCATTTGCCTGATGAGTTGCCAGGGATGGATGGCCATAATTTCGTTTCTATTTCTGGTAAAATACTCGATGAACGTTTGGTATTCTGTTAAAAGTTACCTAAGAGTAGTCACTCTTTTGTGATGCTTAGTGACGTAACAACCAAGCTGTGTGCTTGTGACAAACGCCTGTCCCTAACAGCTGTAGTGCCACTCAGAGATTTAAATCACAAAGATCTTATGGGCAATGTCACGGCGCGTGACACCCTGAAACATAAGTTGACAAGTCCCATGTGCCTGTAATTTCACCAGCAACCTTACCCTTCTAAACTGGAACGCAGTAATGCATTACTGCTTGGCTGCAGAAATAGTTAAGGTGGCCGAACTTCCCTCGACGAACTCTTTCACAAGGAGCTCTACTGCTACTTAAACTTTAGACTTATCAGTAGCCATTGTGCTTTTTCTTTTTTTTATAATATCAAATGACGGGATGAACAAGTCGTGCGCCTGATGGAAAGCTACACGCCTGTCTATAACAGTTGCAGAGCTTTAAATCGCAAAAATCTAAGAGACACTGCCACTGCGCCCGTCACTCAGAGATAAGTCGACAAGTCCCACGCGCCTGTAATTTCACCAGCACCCTTACCCTTCAAAATCGGAACGCAGTAATGTTCACGTTACTGTTTGGCGGCAAAAATAGGTAAGGTGGCAGTACACTTTCCTCTACTTCTACTACAAATAATGTAATCTGACCTTACGTATAATTGCGGACATTAATATTTAATTAATTAATATTTCTACGCCAATTGTTGGCGTATTTAC